ACCCAGTTTCTCTCTTTCCCTCTCTTGTGCGTGTGTGTGCGGGTGAATTTATCTTGGGGAGCAAGATTAATTGCTAAACCTAATTATATACATATAATTAGTACAACCTTAGCAGTTAATAAAAATGGGACGCCTCCACCATCGAATAACCATCACTCACAGCCTCCATCGTCCTCCTTCTTCAACCGTTGTCCCTATCGATCGCAGCCACCACCATCTGTGAGCAGAGCCTTCGATCATCACCAAGCAGGCCGTCGACCATCAGCGATCATAATCCCTCGCAGCAGACCATCAACGACCATCATCGTCACCAGTTGCTGCCGCCATCAGCGTTGCGCCACCATCACCGACGAGAACCAGTCCAGCGAGACCTCCTCTGCCACGCAGCAGCGACGCTGTGCAGCACCTCCGTTTCCGACCTCGAACCGCGATAGAGAAGCTCTTCAACAGGCCGCCACCATAACCATCGCTCGACCATCAACCCACAGCTAGCGACCATCATCTTCGGCGAGCTCCCTCCCTTCATCGGGATCCGTCGAGTTCCGTCAAAGTGTCTATCGTGACCGTCGAGTCCCGTCGGGTTCCGTCGGAGTGTCAAACGAAGCCGACGAGTTCCGGACGCCGAGCCGCCATTATCGCCGCCTTCATCCTCGACCGCGACCAAGTTTTGCAGCGGCCTCCACGAAGCTTTTCCGGCGAGTTCCTCAGCCACCATCATCATCACCTCTGTTCCCGAAGCTGTTCGCCGCACCCAACGAGAACCGACGCCGCTGCAGCCCACCTTCGCGGCCCTGCTACTCGCTACTATCCGTGCGGTTTCAGGTTCGCGCGTCCCGCCGCTTGCAGCAGTCTTGTTCTGTGTGTTGCCGCTGTTTGAATTGTCCCGGGCTCGATCGCTGCAGTCCCGGAGGTCCCGTGATCCCATTAGCGAGCTCGTTTGTTATTTTGTTGCTCGTTTTCGTAGCCCCGTCCCGAGAACGGTACCCGGGCTAACTCTCGACTTAATTATTTCGTTCGTTTATATGTGTTTAGGTGCTCGTACGTGTGTTAATTGCTGAACGTGTGTCAATCGAGCTAATTCGTGCCATTAAATATGAACTTGAGTGAATATTGATATATATATTCCGTTTGGGTGTCAAAGTGATTGTCGTCACTTTGAAAAAAAAATGTCGAACTGAGGTTAATGTAATATTTTATGTGGAAGTGTTGTGGATTATTGGACTTAGGAATGTCCTTAACGCAACGGTTTTGGCCTTGCGTCGTTTCGATATATATATTGAAAGATATGAATTTTTGAAAATCGTGCTGCACTCCGTTTTTGCTAAAATCATTATAAATCGTATATTACTCCAAAAATTTTGATTCTTGGATATGTTGTAAAGTTGCTGTTGTAGTACTTGTGGTAAAATTTTGAGAATTTTATATGGCCTGTAACCTTGTCAAAACTTCAAAACTATTTCTGGGCTGTTTCGTAATAAATTCTTATAAAATCGAGATAAGTCTTATCCGCTTTGGCTAAATTTTGAATATGTTGCTGTTCTTTGGAATAGCTTGCTTTTTTGTAAAAATTTGAAGTTAAAAATCGGACTGTAACTATTTTAAAGGTTTTAATTTGATTTCTAGTCAGATTTTGAGTAAATTATTTAAAATAGTTAGGAGCATGTTTAAAGGTTTTCCTTTGGTGAAAATGTGTGTTTTTCAGCCCTCCAAATGCTGTAAAAATTTGAGTTGAAATATCCAAGTCTGATATGGGATATTATATACACAAGGCTAAACCGGTAAACTCAGCCGATCGAGAAGACCAAGTTAGGAGGAGGCCAGAACGAGAGAAAAGAGGATCGATCATTTAAGCAGTCGACTAGGCAGCCGATCGACCAACCCATTGCACGAATAATCCCGTAATCGAATAACCCATTGCTCGACCAGATATATGATCGAGCAACCCCTTGTTCGACCAGAAGCGGGATCGAGCAACCTATTCGAGGAGCCCATGATCGAAGAGCCCGTGATCGACCTAGTCACAGGCGCGTGGGTTGCAGATGCGCGTGAAAGCCCCTAACTGAAACTCAGGAGAATATTTACCCCATGTGCAGGAAGGACACGTGTCGACAATATATTAGGTGATAGCGATAACCACCTCTGACAGCTCCCAACGCCCTGCGCCACCTCTGACATGTGCGCGGCGTGTCAGAGTACGGACGGGCAGCTTGGGCAGCCAGCTCATCCTTATCCGGGCAGTTATTAGGGCAGGTATCTCACCCCTATATAAAGGGGATGAGCCTTTCTTCCTTAACACATTCTATTCATTCTCTAAATTCCAATATACTCATACACATACTGACTTAAGCATCGGAGGCTCTTCACCGGACCCAACCCCCGGTGTGAGAGTTATTTGCAGGTTTCCAGCATTCTACCGGCAAGGACAAGAACCGATCTACTCCAAACCGGACCTGGACGCTTACACTTGCATTATTGGCACCGTCTGTGGGGATTCTTTGTTCAAAAAATTGTGTTTGAAGCTCAGCTATGGCGGACGGAATTCCTAAAAACTTGTAGTCAACGTTCGACGAAGCTTGGACGACGACCAGGCCATTAGGGCACGGCCCTCCTCCGAGTTTCTCTGGCCCATTGCAGACTCCGGTCACTCCTACTCCGATCCCGCACGGTGTGGGAACGACGGCGACCAACCTCGGAGGAGACGCTGGTTCCAGTCGCGCCCAGGAGGCACGAGCAGCAGCGACGATGGCGATGCCGCCCCCACCACCTCACAACCCGGTGGTGGTCCAACCCGGAGATGTAGCGATACAAGGCGGAGCTCCGCCTCCAGTAGCTGGACAGGCCCCCGGTCAACAAGTGGTTACGATGACCCGGGAGGAGATGCAGAGGATAGCAGCGGCCGCGGCGGCTCAGGCGGTGCAGCAGGTCGCAAGCCACACATCGCACGCCACCACTGCGCCGGCAACAGCAACGGGAAACCAAGATGAGGATGTGTCCAGCTATGGAGAAGGAGGAGTGGCGAGAGATCGTGCGATGGAGAGGATGGCGGAGCAGTTGCGCCAGTTGCAAGACAAAGTTGAAGGAAGGCCAGAGGGGAGGGCTCGAGGGCATCCTTTTGCTAGAGAGATCCTCGCCACTCCTTTGCCGGCCAATTTCAAGGAGACCAACTTGGTGTATGACGGGTCATCGGACCCGTCGAGGCATGTGAGGACTTTTGAGAATATGGCTGTGTTGCATGGGTACTCTGATTCTGTTTGTTGCAGGGCATTCTTATCGACCCTACGCGGAAGGGCGCTTGACTGGTTCCATCAGTTACCCTCGGGGTCGATTGTGGACTTTGAGGATTTCGCCAGCAAACTCACCAACCAATATTCGAGCGCGGTGGCGCAAGAGAAGACTTACTTGACCCTTATGGCGATGAAACAGGGCGAGAAGGAGTCGCTGAGGAAGTATGTTGCTCGATACAATAAAACATGTTTGGAAGTGCACTCTGCTTCAGATGAGGTGAAAGCAGGAGGATTGATTAGGAGTCTTCGAGCAGGGCCCTGCCGAACTTCTTTGGCAAAGACCCCGGCTCGATCATACGAGGATGTTCTAAAGCGATGCAGGAAATATATCAATCTGGAGGAGATGGAGATGGAGTTTGCAAAGCTCGAAGGGGTGTCCCAACCAGAACCAAAAAAGGAGCAGAACCACCCGAGGGGAAGGTCACCAAGGAGAAACTCGCCTAAGAGGAGCGAGCGGAGAAGAGCGTCTCGAAGAGGGAGTGGGGATGCGAAAGGGGAGAAGAGAGATGAATGGCAGAGGAGGCCGATGGTGTTCGAGAGGCAGAGGTGCCACAACTTTACTCCTTTGAGGAAAGATATGACAGAAGTGCTCGAGGCCATGGAACAGAAGATGTCGACTGAGGACGTAACTTGGCCAAAGACAAGATTCACCGGTCCACTTCGACCCCGGTCGGATTTGTATTTTCGATTTCACAAGGATTACGGCCATACCACGGAGAACTGCAGGCATTTGAAAGATGAGATCGAGAGGTTGATTCGGGCAGGATATCTGAAGGAGTTTGTCTATCACGACAGGGTGAGAGGAAAAGGCAGGAGGAGATGTAGAGAAGATTCCGAGGAGAGGAGTGATAGAGATGGAGAAGGAGATGGAGGGGATGGCCGAGGAAAGAGGTCGAGAAAGGAGGGAGATAGAGAAGGGCAAGGAGGAGGGGCCCCGCCGAAGAGAGGAACGATTTACATGATTTCTGGGGGGCCAACAGATGGTGACTCGAACAGATCGAGGAAGGAGCATGCGCGAGCGGTGAAGAGAAAGAGAGAGGAGGTGGGGATAACAACGCGCATGCCAGTAATAAGTTTTAAGGCGGAGGATGCCGAGGGGGTAGTTTTACCACACAATGATGCTCTGGTGATAACCGCGGAGGTTGCGGGTTTTGATGTAAAGAGGGTGTTTATTGATACCGGGAGTTCGGTGGATGTCATGTTCTATGACTGTTTCGTGCAGATTAACAAGGAGCTGAATATGGAGCTGAAGCCGGTAGCCACGGCGCTTTACGACTTTAATGGAGGAGAGGTTATGCCGATGGGGGAGGTCAGTTTGCCCGTGGCGCTGGGGTCAGGGGAGCTGAGGAAGGTGCGCATGGTGAGATTCGTTGTGGTAGGGGCTGAGTCGTCCTATAACATCATCATGGGGCGGACGAGCTTGAACGCATTCCAGGCAGTCGTATCCACGTACCACATGACGATCAAATATCCGGTGGGCGAAAACGTAGGGGAGATTGCCGGGGATCAGCTCACTTCGAGAAGCTGCTACCAAACAACAGTTAGCAATAACAAACAATTGGCGAAGAGACAGGCCGAGTTGAAGGGGGAAGAAATCAATCGACCAGGAGGATCAAGATCGAAGGAGGAGAAGCAAAAGGTGGAGAAGGGTAAGGAGAAGATTGACATCCAGCCTGGAGGAGAAGTTTAGGAAATTCAGATGATCGAGGGATGCGAAGGTAGAAAGTTTAGAATCGGGAAGGATCTGGAGGAGCCCATTCGGTCGAGGCTGATCGATTTGGTAAGGGAGTTCGCTGATATTTTTGCCTATACAGCAGAGGAGTTAACGGGAATAAGTGCGGAGGTGATCGAACATCGTCTAAATATCGACCTCAGCGTGAGGCCGGTGAAGCAGAAAAGGAGGCACCATGGGGCAGAGATGGACAAGATTATCGAGCAGGAGGTCGAGAAACTATTGGGAGCGGGGCATATTAAGGAGATTAAGTTCCCTGAGTGGCTATCGAACACGGTGATGGTGTCGAAGTCAGAAGGAAAATGGAGGATGTGCATTGATTTTCGTGACCTGAACAAGGCGTGCCCGAAGGATCTATATCCACTGCCCAGAATCGACCAGCTGGTCGACTCAACGGCAGGGTGCGAGTTGCTGAGTCTGATGGATGCATCCCAGGGGTATCATCAAATCCCCTTGGCTAGAGAGGATAGGAAGCGGGTGAGTTTCGTGACGAGTCGAGGGACCTATTGTTACGTGGTCATGCCGTTCGGTTTAAAGAATGCGGGTGCCACGTATCAAAGGTTGGTCGATAAAATTTTTAAGGAGCAACTGGGAAGGAATATGGAGGTATACGTGGATGATATGTTGGTGAAGAGTAAGGAGGAATTGGATCATGTGCGAGATTTGAAAGAAACATTCTTAACGTTGCGGAGATACGATATGAAGCTGAATCTGGCTAAGTGCTCTTTCGGGGTGAGGTCGGGAAAATTTTTGGGCTATCTGGTGACCAAGAGGGGTATTGAAGTCAATCCGGAGAAGGTTCGAGCTGTGATGGAGATGAAGTCACCAACAAACGTAAAAGAGGTACAGAGTTTAGCTGGTCGAATTGCGGGGCTGAGTCGTTTCATATCGAAGGTGGCGGAGAAGAGTGGCCCATTATTCAAAACCCTGAAGAAGAGCGCGAAATTCCAATGGACGGAGGAAGCGCAAAAAGCATTTGAGGAGCTACGAGGGGTGTTGGCCAACCTCCCTTTATTGGCCAAACCCGTGCAAGGAGAGGAGCTGGTGCTATACATTTCTATCGGGGAGAGAGCTGTAAGTTCGGTAATGTTGCGGGAGGAAGGAACAGCGCAACTCCCTATCTACTATTTGAGTAGGGTAATGCAAGGAGCAGAGACGAGGTATTCTGAGATTGAGAAGTGTGCCCTGGCTGTGGTCGTGACTGCTCGAAAGTTAATACCTTATTTCTTAAACCATAAGGTGAAAATACGAACGAATATGCCATTGGGAGAAACTCTAGGACGACCATCAGTTTCGGGCAGGCTGGTAAAATGGGCGATCGAGCTGAGTGAATATTCCTTGTTGTACGAACCAAGGAGGGCCATAAAGGCGCAAGTGTTAGCTGACTTTATTCAAGAGGGCACGAAAGTCGAAGAAGAGGTCGAGGGGCTAATGCAGTTGTTCGCAGACGGATCTGTGGCTCGAAGCGGGGCGGGATTGGGAATCGTCCTTGTCTCCCCCAGAGGCGACTATTTAGAATTCGCAGCAAAGGTGGGGTTCAAGATATCCAATAATGAGGCTGAATATGAGGCAGGTATAAAGGGCCTGAAATTAGCCAAAGCGGGGGGAGCTCGGAAATTGCAAGTACATTCAGATTCTCAGCTGGTGGTTGGACAGTTTCAAGAAGGGTTTGAGGTTAAAGAGGACCGGATGCAGAAATATGTGGATGAGATGAAGAGGTTAAAGGAAGAGTTTGATTTGTTCGAGTTAATACAAATTCCTCGAGGAGAGAATGGTCGAGCAGACTTATTGTCGAAGATTGCCCAAAGCTTGGTCGACTGTAAGAGCAGGAGCGTCACTCTATTGCATCTGGAGAAAAGTGTGGTCGAGACGAATGTGGCGGAGATCGAAAAGGTAGAGGATTGGAGGGCCCCGATCTTGGAAGAGTTGAGAGAAGGAACGATGAAGGTAGTCAGGAGGTTTTTCGAGCATGGAGGTATCCTTTACAAGCGGTCATATGGAGGACCACATTTGCGCTGTGTCACCAAGGAAGAAGGTCGATACGTGCTGAGGGAGATGCATGAAGGTTGCTGCAGCGATCACAGTAAATCGGGGGCCTTGGTCGCAAGGATCCTGAGAGCAGGATATTTTTGGCCGACAATGAGAGAAGATGCGAAAGCGATGGTAAAAAAGTGCTTGCAATGCCAGAAACATGGTCCCTTGATCCATCAACCGGCTGAAGCGATGACAACGATGAGTGCCCCTATACCCTTCGCTCAATGGGGCATCGATCTGGTGGGGCCAATGCCGCAGGGAACGGGACAAAGAAAATTCCTAATAGTGGCGGTCGATTATTTCACGAAATGGGTGGAGGCCGAGCCCTTGGCGAAGATCACGGAAGAGAAAGAAATTAAATTCCTATATAACAACATTTGCTGCCGTTTTGGTGTACCCAAGGTGTTGATTTCCGACAATGGCACCCAATTCAATGGTAAGCTGATTCGAGCGTGGTGTGAAGATATGAGAATCGAACAGCATTTCGCCTCTGTAGCTCATCCGCAAGCCAACGGCCAGGTCGAGGTAACCAATCGGATCATATTGAATGGGCTGAAAACAAAGTTGGAGAAGGCCTCGGGAGCATGGGTCGATGAGTTGAACTCTGTGTTGTGGGCGTATCGCACGACCCCTCGGTCGACCACCGGAGAAACCCCGTTCAGCTTAGCTTACGGAATGGAGGCATTACTGCCAATCGAGATCGAGATGCTATCCCAGAGGTCGAGCGCATACAATACAGAACAGAATGAAGACTTGATGATGGCGGCTTTAGACACTATCGAGGAACTGCGAGGGAAGGCAGCAATCAGGGTGGAGGCGTATAAGCAGAGGATGCGCGCGGCTTACGACAAGAAAGTGAAATTTCGCAGACTTCAGGTTGGCGATCTAGTTTGGAAACGTGTCGATGTACTAAAGCACGTGGGAAAGCTGGAGCCGAACTGGGAAGGACCATACCTGGTCGAGCGAGTGCACGCAGGAGGAGCGTACTCGCTTAAGGATGCTGAAGGCCGGTCACTTGCCAGGTCATGGAACATAGCTAATCTGAAAAAATATTATGTTTGAAAGTTTTTTTTATATATATTATTATTACCTCTGTATGACGTCTGGGAAACATGAACAAGAATGTAAATCGCAAAATTTATCAAGAGGCAATGAAGTTCAGTGATCTTTCTGATTTTATCTATTTTATCGCATATCTTCTTATGCTGGGAATGTTGCTACAATTGAATGGCAGGATGTATGTGGTATGGTTTGATCTAGAGGTCACTTGTTTAGAACATTCCTTGGGGTGGGCAGGTTGGTCGAAGACCTCCTGTTAAAAACAATCCTCGGGGTGGGCAAGTGTGAAGACCAAAACCCACCATGAATAAGGCCCTCGGGCTGGGTGGTCGCTTGTTTAGAACATTCCTTGGGGTGGGCAGGTTGGTCGAAGACCTCCTGTTTAGAACATTCCTCGGGGTGGGCAAGTGTGAAGATGAAATCCTTACTATGGAGACTGGAACGTAGCGCTGAAATCAGAAGAACGAACCTCAAGGCATAAACCCAGAAGAGAAATCTGATGACGTGGAAAATCCACCATGTTTAAGGCCACAGGGCTGGATGGTCGCATGTTTCGACCACCTCCAAGGGTGGACATGTATTCAAAAATTTTAAATCCATCATGTTTAAGGCCACGAGGCTGGATGGTCGCATCTTTCGACCACCTCCAAGGGTGGGCATGTGTTCAAAAATTTTAAATCCATCATGTTTAAGGCCACGAGGCTGGATGGTCGCATGTTTCGACCACCTCCAAGGGTGGACATGTGTTCAAAAATTTTAAATCCATCATGTTTAAGGCCACGAGGATGGATGGTCGCATGTTTCGACCACCTCCAAGGGTGGGCATGTGTTCAAAAATTTTAAATCCATCATGTTTAAGGCCACGAGGCTTGATGGTCGCATGTTTCGACCACCTCCAAGGGTGGGCATGTGTTTAAAAATTTTAAATCCATCATGTTTAAGGCCACGAGGCTGGATGGTCGCATGTTTCGACCACCTCCAAGGGTGGACAT